CCTCGGCCGACCACTTCGACGTTCCACCGAGCCCGACAGGTTTCCCTGCCGAGTACCCTCCTCGGCTAAGGATGCACCTAGGCCGAACGTTACTCACGTACCAACGCCGAGCAATCCTCGGCCGACCACTTCGACGTTCCACCGAGCCCGACAGGTTTCCCTGCCGAGTACCCTCCTCGGCTAAGGATGCACCTGGGCCAAACGTTACTCACGCACCAACGCCGAGCATCCCTCAGCCGACCACTTCGATGTTCTACCGAGCCCGACAGGTTTTCCTGCCGAGTACCCCCTCGGTTAAGAACGCATCTAGGCCGAGTAGCATACCACCAATATTCAAACCCAACATAACGCCCTGACTCCCAATGGGTCGGGCCCATCACGATTTGGCCGAGCTACCTCCTACTCGCGTAAGTAGAACAAGAACCCGCTACGCACCATACATGGCGGTGGCATCACTTATGGCCGACCTAACCGACCTCTCACAAAGAAAACCCTCGGTTAACCCCGAGGCCGATTCATTTTAACTTAGCATCCAAATGAAGTCCCATTATTAATTATGGCCGATTAAGCCGACCTCTCGAAAAGGTTTCATTTCCACCGAGTTGAAAAAGGGAAAACCCTCGGTTAAGCCGAGGCTCATTTTAACTTAGCATTCAAATGCAGTCTCATTATTAATAATGGCAGATTGAGTCGGTCGCTCGCACAGGTTTCATTTCTATCGCGTTGTAAAACCTATTTTCTTTATTATATATTATTTTATTTTAGTTGTCATAGTTGGTTCTGCTTGTGACGGCCTAGGGTGGGTCGTTACAACATCCATGTCACGTAGACGTCAAATTTTGTCATGCATCTGGAACCAGAATGACCTGTTCTGAAACCGGAACTGCCCATTCCAGTTGCAATCATGGTGTGTAAATTTTGCATCTGGAACGACCCTTCCAGATGCATTATTTAACACCAACGCGTGCAGCAGAACGGGTCGTTCTGAGACCAGAACAGCCCGTTCTGGCATCCAAAATGGGCCGTTCCAGAACGCCAGCCAACATAGTGCACCAGTGTAGTTCAAAAATCGAAAGCAAATCATTTACACATACACAATTTTTTTTTATCTAAAAAATAATATATTTTAAAAAATAAAAATTATATTCTAATATATATATATATATATATATATTTAAATTATCGTATGTATAAAATATAAATTTCGAGGAGTTATTCATTTATCTGATATTTGTCAAACTTTTGTACTTTCTATTTATTGTTTATGTTGATAAAAAAAATTAAAATTGTAAAAAGGCTTAAATATGTTTTTAGTCCCTCAAATTTAAGATAAATTTGTTTTTGGTCCCTCAAATTTAAAACTGTTGTTTTTAGTCCCTGTAATTTTCAAAAATCTTGTTTTAGTCCCTTAGGTCACCAATAACATATTTGAAAGTGACTAATTAAGACAGTTATGCAATATCAACCAGATTTAATGTGATATTTTCACTAATAGGGACACCAATAGGTAGATTTTATGCAATAATGTTTGATAAATTTCTTAACAAAATTTGAATATAAGGACTAAATTAAGATTTTTTGAAATTACAAGGACTAAAAACAACAATTTTAAATTTGAGGGATCAAAAATAGATTTATCCTAAATTTGAGGGACTAAAAACATATTTAAGCCTTGTAAAAATTTATATCACATATTAAAAACATCTTTATATGATAAATAAATTAAACTTAATTTTTATAAGATTTAACATATTTATTTATATGTTTTTATTAGTGTTAAATTATTATTAAGTAAGTTTTTAAGATTGTTATGTAACCAAACATTTTAAAAAATGTCTATGACAGATAAATATATAATATTTATAACATGTATTTTTAACAAAAATTAGGTTTAAATCTGTTAAATTATAATATAACATAATCTGACCTACTTTATTTTCATCCTTAATCATAATTGTAGATATAAAAACTTGTAAAAAATAACTATAATATATATTTATACTTAAAAAAATTATATATAAAATTTTTAATATTACAAATATATGAATAAGTATTGTCATCACGATCTAAAATTTATGGATATAATCATTAATTGTATGTATGACATTATAGAACCAGAACGACCCGTTCTGAAACTGGAACGACTGTTCTGGTTTCACTCGTGGTGTGTTAATTTTGCATCCGAAACGGCCCATTCTGGATGCAAAATTAACACACGACGAGTGATACCAGAACGGGTCGTTCCAGTTTCAGAACGGACCATTCTGGTTCCAGATGCATGACAAAAATTTGACGTCCACGTGACATCTACGTATCTTCCGCGTGGCATTCACGTAGCATCCACGTGACCAACAGTTAACTCCGTCTAAATAATTTGGACGGAAGTCCGACATTGAAACTAATTAATTTATTAGGAACTAAATTGAGACTAAAAATAAAAATAAGACTAAATTGAAACAAATAATTATTATAAAGGACTAAAATAGATTTTTAGCCTAAATTTCTATTGAGATCACGAGAACACACAAGTGCACATTTCCTTCTCTACATAGTCAATAATATCAAATGTTAAAATTTGAATTTAGATAAACTTAATTAAAAAATATAATCCACTACCAATTCTTTCGATAAATGTTGGTTTGACCGTGCCATTCTCTTCTACTTTTGTTTTTGGTGTGTAAACCCAATACCTTGATTCATGCTTTATTATTTTTTAAAATATTTTTTAATTCTTATAATTTTACTTATTTTACTCTCATATATATATATATATATATAAATAATAGTTTCACACATATTATATATATAAATAATAATTTCACGCATATTAAAGAAGATAGTTAAATGTATTTAATTTTTATAATTTTATATAAAATATACTATATATTTACTAAAACATCCATAATCTCGTTTATTGTATATAGTATTCTTATTTATTATTTTATGGATATTTTTGAATTAAGAGTAGAAAAAAAAAGTTGATTCAATTTGTTTATATTTGAGTTTATATATATATATACATATCTAAAAGGAATACTTTTTATTCCCAATGATTTAAAATAATTTTTTAATTTTTATATTTATTTTTTTAATATTTTTTAGTACTTATAATTTAAGATAAGTCTTTTTATATCCATACTTGCATATTTTTTAATCATTTTAGTTATTGTTAAATTTTTTTTTAACATTTGTTATGTGTTAATATATAGTAGATGTCTTCAATTTTATGAAGGTGAAAAAATATACAATGGAGATCACAAATAAAAGCATAAAAAAGACATAAAATTTTGAGAAATTTAATTTAAAATGATCAACAAAAATAAATTTGACATGAAAAATAAAGTTAAATTAATATTTTATCATGCATATATAAAAGAAATAACGTTATAAAAAAAATAATGACATAAATTTAAAAAAATTAAAAATAATAAATACAAACGTCTATCTTAAGTTATAAGAATTAAAAAAAAGGTAAAAAAAAATGAATTTACAATAATAAATTGAAATGAGAAAAGAAAAAGAAAAAGAAAAACTTGTGTGAGGAATAATTTTTCATGCTTTTGGAATATACATGCATACAAATTGTAATGATTTTGATATAATTTTAGAAAGAAATGTAGGATTAACGTAAGTTAGCACTAAAGGCAGTGGAAGGGGAAGGAAGTTTGGGGAGAAAAAAGAGGTAACGTATAGTAGAGCTGTTGTTTTCTTTGAAATGATTTTCCATTCCACGTGAACCTTCTAGAACTATCACCATACCATGCCTCCGCCGCTCCAACGCAACAACGCCCATTCCACCACTCTCCGATCCCTTCCCACGCCCTTTCTCGCCAAGACCTACCACCTCGTCGACGATCACACCACCGACCACGTCATTTCATGGAACCACACCGGATCATCCTTCATCGTCTGGAACACTGCCGTTTTCGCCACCGATTTCCTTCCTAAATATTTCAAGCACAACAACTTCTCCAGCTTCGTTCGCCAACTCAACACTTATGTAATCTACTTTTCTCTATCAATTTCTTTTCATTTTTCTTTTTCCTTTTTTTCTTCTTCTAATTTTCCTTCATTTCTAGGGTTTCAGAAAAGTAGTGCCTCATCGTTGGGAATTCTCCAACGACTCTTTCCGTAGAGGCCACAAACGTCTTCTCTGCGAAATTCAGCGACGGAAGATCCTTTCGCCGTCGCCGCCGCTTCCTGCGATTCCGATCGTTTCACCGTCGAACTCGTCGCCGGCGGCGCTGTTGGACGAAAACGAGAGACTCAGAAAGGAGAATGTTCTGTTGACGAAGGAATTGGAGGAGATGAAATCACTCTGCAACAATATATTTAATCTGATGTCGAATTACGCAAACGGTCAGGCGGACGGCGGTGCGGCGGCGGCGAAGACGCTTGGTTTGATGCCGGCGAAGCGGTGCTCCGGCGAGGAGGAGATGAATCCGAAGCTGTTTGGAGTGGCGATTGGGACGAAGCGAGGGAGAGAGGAGTATGATAGGGTTCTGAGTGTTGATGATGGGTCGTTCTATGTGGAGGTGAAATCTGAACCGTTAGATTTGGCGAGACATGGCGAAAATAGAAAAAGTGGTGGGTGAATGAGTGTCATGCATCAAATGGAAGAGTGTGCAATTGACACGCGGCGTTGTTAGAGAATCAGAGTCCGTGAGCACGGAGACGCACGTGTTGAATGGAATGTGTGCCATTACTATGAGCGTCGATAATTAATTAATTCTATATCATATTTTCTTTTCTTCCCAGCTAAATAATTTTTTTTTTTTTACACAGAATGGTTGCTGTGAGGTATTTATATTATTAATTTACCATATAAGTTATTAATTTTAAAATGCGTTGGATCATATGAAATTGATTATCAATTATGAAGATCCGAGTGCCGTTTGGGACATCTTTCGCATAAGTTTCTCAGAAGAAAACGTAACTCTGTTGTTCACTTCCTTTCATGATTCTCTTTTATCTTTTTTCAAGTTAGAAACATGTTTTAGACTATTTTTAATATGCTTGGCAAGAAAAAAATTAATTAATTCTATATCATATTTTGTTTTAAGTATTTTTAATGTTATTTTTTAAAATTATAAATAGCCATATGAATTTTTTTTATTTTTAATTAAAAATAAGTTATTTTAGGTTTATTATGTGTGACTTATGTATTCTGTTTGTTCCTTACTGCTTTTAGATTATTTTTTTCAAAATTTATTTGCCTCTCTACAGTTTTTTGAGTTTATTTACTTTTTGCATGCAGAAAATAATAATAATAAAGCTTAAACATAAAATTTTATACAAATTATTCAAATATCTCATTAGTAAGTTGATTTTAATAATATTTTTTTAGTTTAATTTATATGCATTATGAAATTTATTAATATAAAGCTTGTGTAATGTATAAGATAATTGTTTTTTTTTATGACTACAATTTATAATAAAATAAATATTTTAAATACATAAATTATTTTATAATTAAATTTTATAATAAATAAATACTTTTAATGCATAAATTATATTTTAGATTAATAATAAACAATTTATATTGTAATATAAAGTTGATTTAAACTATTATTTAAAAAAAAAATATTGAAATTTAATTTTAAAAAAATGAAAGAGGTGAAATGTTGAAAAGCAAATTCTAGAAGTGTTATCGTTAAAGAAAATTTACTAAATAAGTCATTAAAAAATTAACTAAAAAAAATCTCGTTCAAGTATAACTACAAAAAATATTTTCATTTAAAATATTCATCATAAAGGAGTTTTCAATCCTAAAGAGATTTAGAGTCTAATTTAATTGAGTGCTTGAATTATTGTAAGCCTCCTTAATATATTCTCTTATATAGAAGAGAGAGAAAAAACAGAGAGAACAAAATAAACAAGCTTTAAGAAAAAGAAAACTCGTTGTATGCATGTTTTCTTCCTATCAATGCATGCAATATAAATGAAAATAAAAATTTAGAACAAAAAAGGATAGATAAAATTACAATTATCTGTGTCGTCAGCCCATGTATGCAGGTGGATATGGCAAAAAAATTTATACTACAAAAACAAAGGTTTCATAACTCGTAGTAAAGGATATCTTTGTATCGTAAATAAATAAAATAAATAAATAAATGATCTCTCTTTTATTTAATTGGCATAACTACTTATCACAATATATATTATAAATACACGCAAACTACTGGTGTTAATCTAATAGTGGAGATTAAAATAATATAGATGTAATATTGAGTTCGATTTTTGATGTTATTATAATTTTGATGAATAAAAAATATTATTTATACATGAATGGAGAAAAAAAATCCCTAACATTAATGTAAATATGTAATGAATTGTTTTTAAAACAAACTACTTAATCAGCAGAAACTAAACTTACCTAGAGTGTGTTTGTGTCACTCTCTTCCTACATTTCAAGAAATTATAACTTGTAAAAATAATTTTTATTAGACGACTTGATAAGAAAGAACTATATCTCCTTATTAAAAAAAAATATATTTATTAAAGACTCAAATTTACGTGAGTTATCACGTATTTAATTTACTACCTTACAATTTAATTATTAAATGATTCATATAATGCTTCATAATTATATTATAGATAAATTAAAATAAGTTATTTTACAATACTCAAAAGTATACAATTTAGTGAACAATTTTTTTAGTGGAGAGAGATTTCGTAGTGTCCAATTTTTATTTTCTAAAATTTATAATTTCATGAATACAAAATAAATTTTTTAATTCATTTTAAAGTTTTTTATTTATTTATAAGAATTACAATGGTGATAATAAAGTTCAAATCTATGACCATGTGTATATTATCTATATATAAGAAATTTTTAATTAGCTTAGTGAAAGATGATGGTGGTGATGGAAGATGAATTTTGAAATTTAATTTTAGGCATAAGTATTTTATGGACTTACAAACTTCATTTCTTATCATAATCACAAGATAACCAAGTGATAAGAGATTGAATCATATCTTTTGTGAATACAAAAAATTTAAGTTAAAAATAGAATATTCACTTATTCAGATCTGTCAAACTCATCATAGATAACGGAAAGGAACCCTTATAATTATATATATATATATAAAGTTAATCATCTATACACTGTCAGTGTAAAGTTTTTTTATACTGGCAATCAATCATATCTTTTAATAGTGTCATATTACTTGCTTATTTAATGAACTAAAAATAAAATAAAATAATTTAAAAGATATGATTGGTTGCTAGTATAAAAAAACTTTACACTGATAATGTATAGATGATTATATATATATATATAATATTCATGAGGTCTCACTTGATATGCACTCTTATCTTTTAAAAAAAAATTCACATCCTTGATTCCATTGGACCATAGAAATTGCACCGTTCTTAGCCCATTCCATGTTTTGGAGGTTCGTAGCCCATAACCATTATCTTACTTTAAGTTGTTCTTCAGTTTCTCTGAACTGGGTCCGGAGTGAGTATAGGAGGTTGAAGTCCAATAGTTGAGCCCATTCATCGACTAAAGCACATTCCTTGACTTATCTTAAGGTCCAAGGCATTATGCCATTCTTTTCTTCCTTCTTCTTGGTCACAATCAATTACCTATCGGGATATGCGACTGAAACATTAGTCTCCTTATCGATGCAGGTCATACATAAAAGGAAATAAGTTGTTCCACTTCGCCAATAGCCCATTAGGCCACCTGAAACCGCATTTTTTTTTCATACAAGATTATGAATAAAAAGTTAATCATTCATATATTATCAGTGGAAAGTTTTTTATATTGTCAACCAATCATATTTTTTGAATTATTTTATTTTATTTTCATTTCATTAAATAAGCAACTGACATAGTACTATTAAAAGATATGACTGGTTGTCAATATAAAAAAACTTTATACTGACAGTATATAGGTGATTAACTCATGAATAAAACAAGGTGTTTTAACAAATAGCGTTTGAAATCTCATATCAACTTTCATTAAAATAAATTATATATAAGTGAGAGACAACTTTTACTTCATAAATTAGTTTTAGAGTTGAATTAAGATTAAATTTACATTTTTAAGAAACTTTAATGCCTATTTTTATGTTGTTAGCTAGTATGTTAAATTTTGTACTTAATAAGAAATAAAAACTAATGATTGCTGGCTGATTTTTTTTGGACTATAGCACGTTAAAAAACTTAGTTGTTGTAATTTTTTTTTTATCTAAATATTAATGTTTACAATTAATTAACATTATATTTTTTTTCCATAACCAACCTCCTCAAATTTCTTTCTCTTTTATTTGTTTTCATCCAATGGATCATATCAATTCAATCTAAATCCTTGATTAAACTTGATGCAACCTTATCAATTTCCCACTAATCCAAATTTTCAAAATCCTTCACTTTCACCAAACCTACAAAATAAAGACACTTTTTAATTACCTATGCTCCCCTTTCATATTAATTTTTCTTGTTTCAATCACCGCAGTATATATAACAATATCATTAAAAACAATAAAAAAAAACTTCTATTCTAGTATATTTTAATTCAATCTTAATTTTATTTTAGACAATACAGATTTTCTCATATATTGTTATTCTTTAATAAACTCTCTAGCATATAATATCATTTTCATTGTGCGAATTAGGGATATAAAAAAAAATATGGGAGGAATAAAAACAAACAAATCGGTTATGAATAATAATTTTATAAGATAAAACAAACACAAGCCTTGGTCTTTAGTCCAAGTCGGTTATGAATCTAATCAATCCACCCATAATCCTCTGGTACAATTATTGCTTTTAACCTTGATTTATTTGTGTGGGTTTGGATTTGCTGAAAAATTATTTTTTAACCTTAACTTTTTAAATATCAGTTCGTTAGTTGGTAACCTACTAGCATTTTTCTTCTAAGTAATCAATCCTCCCGTATGAATGGAATCTACTGCTGTCATCTTCAAAAATATGTTTGGCATTGTGAAAAAATATAACTTGCATACACGATATTAATCAACATCTTGTCAAGACATGAAATCATTTGAAAAATAAGAACTTTTATATATATTGATAAAGCATAGTCTACATACAAATGCAATTAGATTGCTGATGTACTAAACTCCTGTTAGAAAAGATTGCAGTTAATTGTTACTACTGGAAATATCATATCAGCTCCTAATGACTTAAGCTATGAAACTACTCTCCCCTGATCCCCTTCAAGAATTTGTGCACTTGAAGCATGTTAGGCCTGCTTGCAGGATTATCAGATATGCACACACAAGCAATTTGCAGCATTTGAAGCATCATCTGCTTTGAGTCAGCATCAAGAACTGTTGGATCAAGAACATCAGCAGCCTGCCCCTTCTTGATCTTCTGACTAACCCATCCAACTAAGTTACCACCTTCGATCTCCTTAAAATCTGGTCCTGTTGGCTCTTTACCAGTCACAAGTTCAAGTAAAATGACACCGAAACTGTAGACATCTCCTCTTGTTGTGGATCTCCCACTCTGCCCATACTCTGGTGGAATGTAACCAAACGTTCCAGCAATATCAGTGGTGATATGAGTCTCACAAGCACTGATCAGTCTTGCCAGTCCAAAGTCTGCAACCTTTGGCTCAAAGTCTTCATTCAGTAAGATGTTGCTGGCTTTAACATCCCTATGAATGATGTGGGGTATGAAACCATGATGAAGGAAAGCCAATCCTCGAGCTGCGCCAGTTGCAATTTTGTAACGTTTGTTCCAGTCAAGGATTTCAAGGGCCCCAGTCTTATTCCTCAACCAAAGATCTAAGCTCCCATTTACCATGTATTCATAAACAAGGAGTTTCTCCTCACCTATTGAGCAATATCCAAGCAGTGCCACGAGATTTTGATGCTTCACCTTGCCTAAGGTTTCCATTTCAGCCATGAACTCGCGGTGACCCTGCGTTTTAGCCTCGCTAAGCTTCTTCACAGCCACTGTTTTTCCATTAGGTAAAGTGGCCTTGTACACAGTTCCAAAACCTCCATCTCCAATTATGTTTGCCTTGCTGAAGTTGTCAGTAGCTTCAAGGATGTTCACCAAAGTTAATTTCAGGAGAGGCTGCTCAAACATTGCAACATTGATACTCAGAGGTTCCTTTGATCTGCTGCTGCTTAAGAAATAAAGATTGTGATCCACATAACTGTTCAGTTTGCGCTCCTCAAACTCCTCAGGATCACTTTGCCTCTTGGTAATCCATCTATGTAGAACAAAAGCAATGCTTAGAGTTAGTAATGTGAGTGCAACGGCAATTCCAGCTAGCCTCCATGCATTATCCAATGCTGATCTGCCAATGCCACTAGCCTGACAATTTATACCCAACATCTGGCCACAAAGGTTTTTGTTCCCCACAAGTCTAACTCTGGATAGGTTCTGGCAAATACCATTTTTTGGTATGGGCCCTTCCAACCTGTTTTGAGAAAAATCTAGGTATTTCAGATTAACTAGGCTGCATAACTTGTCTGGAATCCTTCCAGATAGCTGATTACCTGAAACATCAAAATACTCCAGTTGCATTAGATCCCCGAGGTCTAAAGGAATCTCTCCTGTCAACATATTTCGATGAAGATCCAAATTTGTCAAGTAAGAAAGATTTCCCAAAGATGGCGGCAAGTTCCCATTGAAGAAATTAACACTTAAATTCACTGTCTCAATCCTCCATGTCATGGGGTTTGAGAAGAGGTCCCCCACTTGGCCAGAAAGCTTATTATTCTGCACGTAAAGCCCAACAAGGCTTTGCACTCCTGAAAGAGAGGATGGAAGCTCGCCACTGAGCTCATTACAGCTCAAGTCCAAGTGAGTCAACCCCTTCATGTTCCCAAAACTAACCGGAATTGGTCCAGAAAGCTTATTTCCTGTCAAATTCAGCTTCACCAAACTACTCAACTTGCCGAAGCTTTCAGGGATGGCACCTGATAGCTGATTCTGTCCCAGATACAAACCCTGGAGTTTGAGGGCACCTCCAAGCTCTGGTGGAATGGAACCCGACAACAAGTTGCCAGATAAATCCAAAGTTGTAAGATTCGTCAAGCGTGAGAGTGATTTGGGAATGCTCCCAGAAAGCATGTTGTTGCTGACTAAGAGATCCACAACCACTACACAGTTCCCAAGTTCATCAGGTATGGGGCCAGACAATCTATTATATGAAAGATCAAACACACCAAGGTGCTGAACAAAGCTCAAGTCAGGGATGCTAAGTTGTCGAAAATACGACGATTTCTTGGCAGGAACAGCCCCAGACAGATTATTGTGAGAAAGAACTAGGCACTGCAGCTGGCTCAGTTCCACCAGTTTCTCAGGAATAGACCCATTCAGCTGATTGTTTCCAAGGTCCAGCGTAGTAAGGGAAGTGCAATCACCAAGCTCAGTTGGAATATTCCCTTCAAGCATATTCCCATTCAAATTAAGAACTGAAAGGCTTAAGAGACTTCCAATTTCCTTAGGAATAGCACCTGTCAGGCGATTATTGCTAAGAACAAGTCTCTCCAGCATAACCGCATTCCCAATCTCCATAGGAAGAGAACCCTCCAAACGGTTATTAGCAGCAGAGAATTCCATCAGAGTTGAAGAATTCCACAGACCAGAAGGTATTTTCCCACTAAAATTGTTAGAATCAAGGTCCAGCACCATCAAGGGAAGCTCAGAAAGGTACTCAGGTATAGAACCAACAATTTGATTATTCATCAAAACCAACTGAGTAAGGTTCTTACACTTAACAAAAACATTGTCGATAGTACCAGAGAGGAAGTTGTCATCAAGATCAACCTCCAAAAGTGAGGCAGCATTACAAAGCTCCCAAGGAATGGGACCTGTCAGCAAATTGCTGCTCAAACTGAGGTGCTCCATCACAGAACAGTTCCCAAGCTCAGGAGGAATCACCCCAGATAAACGGTTAGCAGAAAGCAAGAGAGAATCAACATTGGCCCACTTTCCTAGCCAAGAAGGCAAAGGCCCGTGAAGCTGATTCTTCTCAGCAGAAAAGGTTAACATAGGAAGCTCAGAAAGTTCCTCAGGCAGTGACCCAGAAAGTGAATTGAAAGAAAGCATGACAGACCTCAGATTCTTACAATTCCCAAGCTCAGCTGGCACTGACCCATTAAGCTGGGAAAACACAAGGTCCAAAATTTCCAAACTCTCCAACTCCCCGATGAACCTCGGAATCGAACACCTCAAGGGGTTGTAAGAAAGGTCAAGCTTGGTCAACGATTTCAGCTTCGCCATTTCCTCAGGCAAAGGACCCTCGATGGAACAGGAAGGGGAGTACAAAATTTCAAGTTTTGAAAGCAACCCAATTTCCCTCGGCAATGTCCCAGACAGCTTGTTAATCCCCACGTAAAGGGCACTGAGGTTCCGCCAATTCCCGATTTCCGGCGGCAGCGCGCCGGAAAACGAGTTGTTCGAGATATCAATGGAAATCAAAGACTTTGCTCCGACGAACAGACTCACCGGAAGAGCACCGGATAAAAGATTGTTGCTCAGGTCGAGAAACTCAAGCCGGGTCAAGTTCCCGACGCTCTCCGGCACTTCTCCGGCGAGCGAGTTCCCGGAGAGGTCGAGAGTTTGGAGGCTCGTGAGGTGACCAACCACCGGCGGGATTTTTCCGGCGAGCGAGTTGGAGCCGAGTCGGAGAGTGTGGAGCTGAAGCAACCCCCCGAGCTCGGCGGGGATCTCGCCGGAGAGGTGGTTGTCGCGGAGGTTGAGGAGAGAGAGCGAGGAAAGAGAGAAGAGTGAGGGAGAGAGTGTTCCTCTGAGGTTGCGAGAGGGAAGAGAGAGCGAGGTGACTCGGCCGAGTTGGCAGGTGACGCCGAGCCAGTGGCAGTGCGGGGTGGCGGGGTGCCAGACGGTGAGGACGTGAGGGTTTTGGAGAGCCTGTTTGAATGAAAGGAGGGAAAGGTTGTCGGAGGTTTGGTCTGCAATGGCAGAGAGTGTGTGGAGGACGAGGAAGTACGAGAGTACGAGGTTAACAGGTAGAGCCATTGAAGAAGACAGAGAGATAGGGAGCAAGATGAGGTTTGTATTGGTTTAGCATGCAAATGGCGTTGCAGATAATGACTAATGAGTAGAAGAAGGTGAAGCACGAAAGCCACGCATTGTTTTCGTTTTTAAATGAGAGAGAAATAACAGTGCCAAATGCCAATGCCAAAAGAGGTTATTTGTCAGAGTGCGCCACGCATAGCACGTGACTTCCACCTTCCCTAACGCCTAATATTACTTTCCCTCTTTTCTTTTTTACTTTTTACTTTTTACTTTTTACAACGCACATACACTTCATTTTCTCACTTCAATCCTTCTTTTATTTCTACTTTTTCTCTTTTTTCCACTTCAATCTACCCAAAATTAGATACCCCAACTTTATTAATCAATTATTAATTATTCATTCTTCAAGTATACTGAAACATTGAATCAATTTTAACCAAATAACTTTTACCATTCTTGGACTGCATATAACAAAATGATAGAAGAGAAAAATAAAAAAAGTTAATTTAATAAGTGGTGTTGCGAAAAGGAATACACGGATAAAGTTTAAAATGTATTTATAAAATGAAGATAATAAAGACGGTAGATAAAAATTAAGAAGCAGTAGAGATACAGTATTACAATGTATGATTGACAGTTGTTACCTATCCGCAACATTAAAATCTAAAAGATAAATTCAGATTATCCTTTTCGTAATTTTTTAATGCATTTTTTAAATGATGAATGACATTTTATGAATTCTTTTAGTGCATTTTTTTAAATATTAAATAAGACTTTACGAAGAAAAACTAAGTTAATCATGATTATTTTGTGTGATAAATTAATTTTTATAATAATTATTTCAAAGTATTGATTATATTTTTAATTAGTTGGTTATATAAATCAACTTCTATATATTAAACATTATTTTTTTTTAGACAAATGTATTTTTTTAAAAATTTCTTATAAGTCAAATTTTAGGAATATTTTTAACTTTTTGATATTTTTTATTAATTATAATTATTTATAAATTAAATTTTAATATTTTAAAATAAATTATTAATAAATAAAAAAAATATTGCACTATGATATAAATTATTTATCATAAATCTAAAATATAATGTATATATTTTAAACATTTATTTTATACAAATTTTAAGTATAATGTATATATTAAAATATAATATTTATTTGTATATATAATTTATTATAAATTTAGTTGTATAATAATCATTTAACATATGCATTGTATCAATTAAAATACTAAATTTTTATATTTAATATATTTGTTAGTTCCTTAACTTAAAAAAATAATTAAGTCTCTAAATTATAAAAATTGTAATTGCGTCTTTAATTTTTTTCAAATTTTCGTAATTAGATATATGAGATCAGTGATATATTTTCAAACACTTAACATGTGTTCCGTGACCCATAGGCAAAAATTGATAAATATTAGGGATCTAGTTAAAAAAAAAAAACTGAAGACATAATTCATATAAAAATTTTGTTTGTTAAAGTGTTTTTTTATATTTTTAAATGAAGAGAAAACTATTTTCTAAAATATTTACATGTGGGAAAAAAATTATAGCCGCTTTTAAAAATTAAAACTATCAAATTTGGTATGGCTCAATGGTTTGGTGGGTTTAGTCACCGCTAGGATAAGCTAAATTGAACTTTTTCTTTGAGAATTGAAAATAACAAGTTGCTTAGAAGGTTACTAAAACTAATTGTTTGGATTTATTTTTTGTAAACATACGTAGGTTTGTGCAAAGGAAAAAAAAATAGCTAGACATGTCAAGTTAGACAAAAAAAAAAAAAAATTGTGGTCTATATGAAAATCAGCTTCACTCATTAACTTATTTCACTCATATTTCATATTTAGCATAGTGGAAATGATTTGATAAGAAGAGAGATACATTTAAAAAAAATATTTGTATTTAGTAAAAAATATTTAAGAAAAATTATGAGAAATTAGAAGTGAGTCTCACATTATTTTATATCTTCTTCATTGAAAAGATTCTTATAAATTTTTAAAAATGTGTAAAATTACATAAATTAAAAATATTATTTCTAATTATAAATACTAAAATAAAAGTAAAATAATAATCATAAATACTAAATTCACTTTATTTCTTGCTTAATTTTAGTTTGTTAAATAACTACAAATTTCATTTTTTTTCACTTAATATTTTTGCTTAATTTTTATCAAATAAAATTTTATTTATTCTCTGTTATTATCTTCTATTCCTTTCCCTTTCTCCGGAACAAAATCTTTGACACGAATAGCACTGATGAGTTTTGTTTTTATGTTAAACAGTTGCAATATGAAACTGAATCTACATAATTGTTTTTAATATCCTTTTATATTATTTTTAAGAATTAATGATTGGTGGAGGAAAATCCTTAAACAGTTAGTAACACTGTATCTTTCCTTTGTGAGATTATAATTTAGTAACCTATAGTCTATAGCTAACCTATTGGGTCAGCTCCTTCAGAAAACACGGGCTTTGTCAATCCCCTTTTCATGGAATTAGGGAATTTGTCTCTTCTCTCTTCCTTTTCTTATGCTATTACCTTTGTTTTCATAATAAACAAATCGATTGAGTTTTTCATTGGATTGGACAGGCTTGTAGGATTTGCACATTGCACGGCTATACTTACATTCGTTATAGAAAGTCCAAAAAGATTCCAACTTTTCTTTAAATTATATTTATATTATTATAGGACACCTTTCTTAGTTTCTTTTATCTTCTTTGCTTTGCCATCAAATTCATATGCATTCTTTTTGTTCGTTTCCACCTCTGCATCATGCCATGTCACTCTCTTTTTATCACTTTCCCATAAACCACTCTAACTTCCATTATAATATTCATCAATCTTTTTGTGTCTTTCAGTATTTTAAATTTTATTGTCATTGCTATATATAAATTAAGATCATTCTCGATAATTTAATTAAAACCAATATATAAGAAATATGTAAATATAACAGTATCAAGCAATTAGTATGCATGTTCTATGTTCCTACTATTTTTAGATTTAACTTATATTTAAAAAGATTAAAAAAAAGTATATTTTTAAAAATCTCTAAAAGTTATAAAAAGATGTCTGCATAGTTAATTTTAAATGTTTTAAACAAATAAATTGAAAAGGAAAAATATGATATTTTGAACTAAAAATATTATGTATAACTAATTATAATAATTGGATTAAAATTTTTTAAAAGTTTAAATGACAGAGATATATATTGCATTTTAAGGAAAAAGAGAGTAAAAATAAATCATTGTCGTATTTTATTATTATTATTATATAAACAAGTATAAAATAGATATTTTGTGTCTTTATGTCTTTTTTAAAATTAAAAAAAATTATTTGAACCAAATTCAATTCCTTCAATAACTATTTATAATTCTTTTCACTTCCTCTGAAAGAAAAGTAAAAAATAAAAATAATAGAAGAAATTACAAAATAATAGATAATTTATATAATAGAAGTAAGTGATTTGAGAATGATTATAAAAATAAAAATATTATTAAAAAATTATGCATAAAAAAGACTTTATTGTCTTTATATATTATAGATTAATTAATTTAACATAAAAAATAAAAATAAAAATAAAAATAAAGACATAGTTAGCAGTACTTTTGTAGGATGTCTAGTTTTAATTAATATGTCATACTAGTAAAAGGGAAAAGGGTAAAAGTTAGAAACGAATTAATTCATGACCATGTGTCGACCATCTTTGGATAAAAAAAATACTGCTTATTTACCAGTTTACTATTTTTTGCTCTACACTTTTTTTTCCTCATCCACTTTAAGGTAACTAATTTTAATTAACACATGATAAAAGTGGTAGGTAGAAATTAGAAATTAATGAATCTATGAAGATTGTGTAAATTATTTATGGAAAAGAAATTATATATGTACAAGTTTCTAGTTCTGGCTTTTGGCATTTACATAGCAGGTGTACTCTCCCCCCTCTTTTCGTTGTAATAATAGAACTGAATAATTTAACCAAAAATATGACATGATAACTTGTTGTCTATCTTTTGCAAGTACTTTCCTTGTTTCCATAGGCTTCTCATTTTCCTCATATTGTTTTCTTACACAACACTAAATCATTTATTTATACCTTAATATTACAATAGAATACGCGCACACATCAATTTTATGTGTAACGACCTGGCTGGCCACTACACTTTCAACCACCGCACACCGGAAACACTAGACAGAATAGAATGAGTATATAATTATAAGGTCTACTCGGCACAACAATTAATTCC